AGCCGAGCCTCACCCCCTGCCTTGGTGAGACAGAAGTCGGCACCTGCAGGCAGGTGCCACTGGGGAAGCAGCTTCGGCAGCCAGCAGTGTGGTGGGAGCAATCTCTGGGGCACCGCAGAGTGGGCAGCTGCCCTGGGCATGGGACATCCCTCCAGCCCCGGCTGCCCGCACCACCCCAGCACTCTCCTTGCAGGAACAAGGAGCGCTTTCCTCCCAGATCTCTCCCTGCCTGTCCCATACGTGGGTCAGGGCTCTTCCCCTGCTCCCCAGCCCACCCTGTGACAACCAGGATAGTGCCACCCTCACCAAAGGTCCCCACATACTGCAGAGCAGCGGCCGAGGTGGGAGCTGTGTGGTCCCGCGGGGGTCTTGGGGGAACCTGTGGCCTCCCGAGGTGTCTCCATGGGCACGAAGCCAGGCTCTGGGGTGGGGGAGCATGTGAGCACCGCGGATGTGCTGCACACACTGCAGGGCTGCTCCGAGCTTAGTGACAAAAGGAGGAGGCTCCAACCGTTGTATTTCTAATTTCCCATCACGTATTTCTTTCTCTGCAAGCACCCAGAGCAGCAACAAACGCCTGTTCCCAGCCCACAGGATGCGCTTTTTGGGACAGCGACCTCCAGCCCCCTACCAGTCCCTCTCTACTTGGGGTACACGCCAGTGCTGCCGGGGGAAGGGGGATGCTGGCCGCCCCACAGCAACGCCCACCTGCAGACACCCCACAAGTGGGGCTACCCTGGACTTGCACCAGCGCTTGAGAGCAGTGTTGGCTTTGGCTTTTCCTTTCCGCCATCTCGCCTGTTTCCTCCAGAGCCAACAGCAGCTCCCACCCATCCCCGGCCCCCCAAACTACCCGAGCGGCGTGACCTTACTTACCGAGCGCGGCATCATGGAGACTGCCACCGAGCCCGCGGCAGGCTTGCCGGGACGCTGCTGGCCGAGGTGGGACAATGTTTTCTGGGGCGGATGGGCAGGCGGGCCACCGGCGGGTCCTGGCGGGGGGGGGCGA